CGCTATCACTCATTTGAACATAACTCATTTAATTTGTGATCCGAGTTAAATTACGTAATAAAATTACGTTAATTATTATTACTCGTACGTCCAGTACCATGCATGGCGCTGTGCATGGTGCACTGGAATCTGGCCATATGGCCAGATTCTACATGCTGTACATCGTTCTTCTTTATCCCGTAAATATCGAACCCCAAATACCAGCAGCACTGCCACTATCAAGCCCGTCTCTAACTTTTTGGAAGGGATGTGTGCATGGCCTCGCGCCAGCTGCGCCAGTTAAATAATGGCCGAAAATTTTAGGAAAACGTTGAAAAGTGGCTCAAAAAAGCCAGTTTTCTACACAAAAGCCAGTTTTCTATTGTAATTTTCGGTGCACCAGCGCCCGTGCGCCCGCGCCAGTTCTATTTTCTAGCATTTTTTGCACCAGCTGCGCCAGCTCCCGTCACACTATTTTTCCGTTTTCTCCCTCCGGGATGGGGTGCGGGATCCAGTGCGCCCCCTTAAAGACTGTCCTGGCTAAGATCGTACGAAGTGATCATAAAAAAAGATGGACATTTGGATTGGGCAATGGTCTAGACGAAAACGAGTAGTACAGTAAACATCGTATCTTCCTTAAATATCTATATATATAAAATAAATATCTCTTCCTTAAATATCTATATAAATATTTATACGAGTATATATAGAAAGAAATCGGAATCCTGTTGCTGTAAGTAAGTATCTCTAGACGATCGTAATTGTGGACAAAATCCCGGCCTTTCGCGAACAGTGGGAGGTTGTATGTAGTTTTCTTCAGATAAATTTTACCATTCTCTTCCATAAGGGCCGCCAACGCTTCTGACAATGGCATCAATCACTGCTAAATCCTGCGCATTACACGATGAACACATCCATCAAAACGGGCCAAATCCCAAAGAAAAAATGTTTCTGCATCCATTTCATTCCCCTAGTCGACATCACAATTTTTAATTGACTGCAAATAACTGTCAGGTTACCCCATGATATCTTGAACATAAGAAGGATGAACAAACTCCGATTTCCAGTTGTCTCTGTTAACATCCGCTCTGGTCGGAGCAGAGATCCACGACGACTTATCCGGTTTTTTCGTGTAGTTCGACTGCTTTATCTTCCTCCTGAAATTTTTTTTTAAATATTGAAACACAGCCATCTCAGTAAGAAAACGTACATTATGTTCGAATAACTATCATAAAGACCATAAAGTGACAAAATTCCGTGATAGCCGCTACTGATGCTTGCGTTCACGAACGGTACATAAAAATAAAGAGATCTTTCGCCGAATAGGTAATTACCGTAAGAAATTTCAAGCTTTCTTGGGACTAACTAAGCGAGTACCGTGTGCCCATCAACTCTTTCCATTTCCATGTACCAACCTCGGCCGTGGTGCTTCGCGTGTATGGAATGAGTCAATTTCCTCAGAAACAGCACGTACATCCTCCTGGCGATCTCATCTCCCATTCTAGCCGCGTTATTTATATTATTATTCTGTAAAACTTGCTAAAAATTTTACATAAAGTGCAAAACTTAATTCAACCTTTTGTACAACAAGGTGCCAAGTCGAAAATTATACAATGGACATTTTAGCGTGAGCCGGCGGGCGTTTTCATTGAAAAATTGTTAAAATTTCCTTACGGGTTGTACGGTTAGCATGCAGCTGTATGCTATGCTGGGGTAAATAAACCGGTAAAATGGATATCGGTTCCTTAAAGGGCGCATGTTATAGCTAAAAGGGTAAACACTACGCAGAGAACTGCCCCCGTGCTACAACCTACTGAACGTTCCGGTATAAAGCCTCGCGCATGCACTAAAGGGATTAAGGTTATTTAAGGGTGAATGTCATGAGAGTTTCACTGTAAAGGGCCATGCTGCTGACGACAAAGCGGCCACGTCGACGTAGTCATACTCATGCACACCGAATCACTGCCCGAAACTTCTGGGTTGAAGTTTCTGTCAGTGTCGGTGCCAAAGTATGGATATCTGCACATAACCTGCAATTGTCGTTTTTGAAGTTATAATCGAGAAAAATTCGGTAAAATGCGACTAGTGACACATATGACAATTTCCTTTTTCGTCTGTACTTTTATCATGTTTTATTACCTTCGTATCGCCATGGAAAATGTGGCACAGTCAACTTCGGAGATGATATTGGTGATCCCGCTCATTCTGTCAATCATCGCGGTAAACAAGGCGAAATCCGCTCTGCTCAGAGCAGGAAAAAAGGTAATCTGACACTTTCTGTCTGCTTTGAGCAGTGCAGGTTTCGTTTTTTAATTTTTTGTAGGTACTGAATACTGGACCAATCCAGTTCTGGAAAAAAAAATTATTAAGACTGCTCAAAAAGCAGCCTCCAATTCTGCCATCTTGAAGACCTCATTCTCACTCTCCTTATCAGTTTCGTCATCGGCATCCCACAATCCCACAATCTGCGTCCCGAAAACGTTAATTACTGGTAGACGCTGTTAACAGTTTCCTCATCGTTTTATTCAGTTATCTCTAACTCGGAAAACAATTGCTGTAGAAAACTTATATTATGTTTGCAGTTAATCTATCTTTAACCACATCGCTGTTTTCCCAAAAATAGACAAAAAAGCACTAAAAATAATAAATGACTCGTGCCGCTTGAAATTAAAGTTGTTTTCATAATGTGAATTTATGAGCACCTTCATCGTTAAAGTGAAGCGCAGCTTTTATACCTCTTTCTGCTGCGAAATGATGAGAACGTGCCAGTCCACGGTCACATTGTGGAACAACACTGTCACGAAGACATCGCAGCTCCAATCAGTTTGTGATTTTTCCAAGTTCATAGAACGGATTGACAATCACGGTCGTTATCAATGGATAATCTTGATACCGTTACTCAGTGCGTTCGCTCTCTTCCGGTGTCAGCCCGATTCTGGAGCATTCCTAGAACTGTACCAAAGAAGAACACGATATGATATATATAAGCTCGAATTCAATTTTTAATACGAAACGTGATCAGTCCTGAAGATCAAACGGTCGCGATTGTACAGGCGTATCTTGCAAGCAACAAATGTTGACACTTTGTCACTCACCTTGAGATACTAAAATAAATTCTCATTAAGCGACGGGCCATCGTTGAGGCTGACAAGATAACAGCGGCGCTGTTTAACTTCGATATTAGACGACTGAACGGAAATGCCCATCTACTCCAGCGCGTGCTTCCGGTCCTGTAATAAGAAAACCAAAATAATGAGTCGACAAAACGGAAGGTAATCAACAGGATAGATACATGTACAGATGAATGAGCAAGACAAAACTGAACTCACTGCGATGTGGTTGGGTAGAGGTCAGAATTGCCTGTTTTTTTATGCAAACATCTAATGTTCTTCCGTTTGCGTCGATAGCCATACAAATCCTTACTCAGCCCTCCCGGCAAAAACATCCGTAGTTCAACGACTATCAAATATTCATAAAGCGTAATTCTGTGTATAATTTTTGAACTCGAAGTCTCAGGATATCTTTAAGCTAAAGCAATGACAAAAACTGGAGAAAATTGACGGTCGCAGGGTGTGGAAAGGCAAAGGTTATGTGACAAAGGTTACACAATCTGACAACAGACACAGAAATTAATGATGAGACATCCATCAATATATTATTATACAAGTTATTAATTTTATTGATAAATTACCACGTCAAGCTTTGTAAGTTTATTAGAAGGAAATAATCACACTTTCCGTATGTTGATTTGAATCACACTTTCCGTATGTTGATTTGATCTCGGGGTGCGTTTCCGGTACGCGTCTCCGGGGGATTCTGTCGGTGGAGATGGGTGTCAGCATGGCGTGCAATTGTTACACAGATTTTGCGTTTTGCATCATACTTGTATACAGTAACATTCATCTATTTTGATATACTGCGCCGTCAACAATTAGTGCCGGCACGACATGAGTATCTACGAAAAGTTAAAAGTAATTTGCAATGTAACTACAAGCAAGTTTCGAGTGGATGTTTATTATTTAATAACACATGTTATTAAATAATAAACATCCACCAGGGAGACTGAACGGATCATAGCTATCGTGAAAATTATACGAAAATCACCGTTTGCAAAAGAAAACTATAAATGCGAGGAACGAACAAATCATTTTTTCTCTTAATTTATGCGGACTGTCATGGCATTTCCGGTGCCACACTACAGGCGTTGTAATAAAGACATAAAAAAGCGTAATGTGCAATATATATTGTTAATTGTACATTACGCAGATAACCCCAGTCAAAAACGTACATTTTCAGAAATTCATACTAGGAACACAACACTAAGGATTTGTAATTTTAGCGCGATTTATCTTTTAATTTTAGCGAATTTTAGCAGAGTAAAATGTCTGTACGATGGCATGGACGTTTCCTTCGCTGATAAACCACTATTTATTCATCTCAACCAGTACGCTTCCGTTTCCGGATAGTCGATCACTGGCAAGAAATCTTGTACCAAGCTGATGATGCCATTTAATTCTCATGAATAGCATACGCATTTTCCTGTAACTGATATTTTCTGCCTCTTCCTCAATAGAAAAGCTGTGTAACCTGAAAAACGAAGAAAAAGTCCCTAATGCATCGATCTGTTTGATAATTTATATTGCCTAAAAACGTCCGCTCAATTCGATACGAGTACTGCAAAATAGCCGGAACGATGCATGATGCATCATCAGTAATCACCTTATTTTTCTAACATAACATTTATTTTGCACTAAGCCACTAACATGCCTTTGCGAAATTACTTTTCTTGCTGAAGATCTTTTAAATAAAAGCAAACATTTTAGGAATTTTTCAACCGCTTTTCTACAGCTTTCAACAGACAGCATTCCCTGCAGATGACGCTTCCTTTCTCAGTAACGCTTTTAATTCGAACTTCGTCAAGGCCAGACCTTTGCAGTCATGTAGGTAAGCCGTGTTTGTTAACTTCGTGCGCTCCTGCTACGAGATCGCCGTTTCGATCGCGCCAAGTAACCACGCAACTCTTTCAATTTCATCCTCAATATCGTTTCCTTTCAAATTCAGTTACAGGAAATTCTGAGGCAAAATAACCGGCACTCGCTACTCGCTAGTGCTACGACAGCAGCCCACCATAGTAGCAGACGAACACCCAACGCACTTCGTCACAGATTGCTGCTGACTTTATTAAAGCCCGTAGCCTCTTTATAGCAGCAGCTGTCCAGAGTTTTTTGTGTTCGACTTCAAGAGCACTTAGCATTACAGATACAACGAGGAATCAATGCCGTTGACGCATCCTTAAAATTTATTAACTCCATTTCCCCACCAGTCATATTTTTACGTGAGTTTAATTCAAGCAGATGTCCGCCTGAATCTATTACATATTTGAATCGCACTACCCGTCGAATTTCGAAAATTATTTCCAAAAGAAACGACAAAAAGTGTTTTGGAACTACTCATTTTACACAACAAACTGGATCACGGCAATCTGATACTAACAGAATAAATTATAACGGTTCTAAAAAGCAATGAATTACAAAACTGAAACATTTTCACTTGTATTATTGTTTAAGGGATTTGGCCCGGAACATAGCACTACATTCACTACATTGACGGGAATATTCGCTTTCGTGCACTTCCAAACACTTTTTTGTGATGCTTTATGGTATACCGGAATGAATTTAAACTTTTTAGAATTTTGTTACCCTTGTGAGGTTGGAAGCGGCTCATGTACAGCGACTAAGTCTTTCAAGGATTTTTAACACTTTGCGCCGTGATGCAGTGGTACTGCCTACGCGGATCTTACGAAGTAGCCGGGTTCGATTCCCCCATCGGTGCATTTTTCGGCCGTTTCTTGGTTTCCCTCGGACGGCGCCCTGCTGAGACCCTCATAACTCCGCAACCGGATGTTACGCGCAAACGGATTTCACACATACGTATAGAATTCTTTCAGCTACAAAATACCATGAAGAAATACAAAAGCGTTTGCGAGTGCCCGTGGTACTATGTGCCGAGCCAAATCCTCTTAATCAGGCCATATCGTCCATCCTGTCCAGCATATCTAAGCAAATTTTTTGAAACTTTGTCTGAGTTTTCAGTTTAACTGCTTATTTAGATATCCAAGAGGCAACACGGGCAGCAGTCATTAAACCAGATCGCGGTATTTGTTCCAAACGAAACTGGGAATTCCGTGTCTGCGTTCGACAGATAAATACTAGTTTAACCCCAGTCAGTTGTCAATACGGTTGAAAGTTGGATAAAGAAAACAGCGGATTTTCTTAACCGGTAACCTGATACCGAAAAGTGCAGTTCAATCCAGTTTGAATCTATGTAATGTTATTCCGGCTGTATTGAGTCTGGATACTGCATATTAACGAACGAACGATCACATAATCAACAACATTCTAAGTCATGCATCTGATACCTATTCGTACAGCCAAGAAGTTCCCAGTCGTGCGAATATGAAGTGACTATTCAGCGGGGTTGATGCCCCACTTGGACTCTTACAATGAATCTAGCCTTGCAAACAGTTCGTGCATAATTTCAAAAATATTAATGCTTTGTCGGTTTCTTAATGGGACAATACGTTAAACAGCACAAAAATGCAATGCAGTCATTTCCGTAATAAAATTTGAATGGCGCACGGGACTCATGTCATATTCCATTGAGCACAAGCCATCTGTACAATAGGGGCACTCGACACACGCGATAAAGTGCTCTGTAAGTTAAAGTGCGATTTGGTTTATAAACCAGCCACCAGATTCGAAGTTTAAAGTGTTCTGTAAGTTAAAGGCACCCTCTGGGTTCCTTTAAGATACCGAACATCTATACTTTAGCGCTCAGTCACAAAATACAAGCTAAACAAAAACGCTCTGTAATTAAGTTACAGAAAACTTTCATAGTGCCCATAATAAGGCTTGCACCGCCGGCGCCATGTAACCCTTCTTAAATAAAATAAGCAAAGAAAATTTCGAAATCGGGATCATAAAAATAAAATCGGTTCCAGCCGAAATAAATCAAGTAAATTTCAACAAGAAAATTTCGAATGAATATCAGATGGTCTTTTCCGCATACGCAGCTACGGAAGGCAGGTAATTATCGCTACAACAGCCAGCAAGCTAACTGGAAATAATATGTAGTCCTGAAATGAAACTCCATACGAATTTCCCATTACGCTCTATTTAAAGTACGAAATATCTAAAAAATATGTGTGCGAAGCTGGCCATTTTCGCATCCGGAAACTTATGCATGCTATTAATTCCCCATTCAGCGTAATAACCGCAAAAGTTACCCTAGATCACATTGTTCGATTACACCTCGCGGCACTAAAGGCTCCAATCACCACGAAAGCTCGTCTGGACATGCCAGGTATAAATACGTATTAACGTATACTGCACAAAAATCCTATTTTCAAGGATCAGCAGCGGTACGAGCACAACTACAAACCAAAGCTCGTACGCCGTTACGGATCAGTCAGCCGAAGTCATTAAAAACTTCGAAATAAACTTCGACAGCCGGTGTCAAAAAATATCCTAGCCACTTTTTCATGGCACCAAGTTGGTAACATTCTGCTTCGATAAGTACCGACTGGAAATAATATTGGAAGATTGATGTTTGTAGCAATACAGTAAATTACCCAACGGGTTGGATTACGCATGCGGAATAACTACCGAAAAGGTCTGCCGTTCTTGCGGCGATTATTACGGGTTCGTCGTCAAGTTGCCACGGACAAAATACAGTAGTAAGCGTATCGAGATGCGGTTGTTTTAAACACAGCCAGTCATTCCCGTCCGCGGTAGGAAAGCGATATCCTCGCTTTCGAGGTTGCCCAAGTGGATGCACTTGGGCCACCATGTCTCTCCCTTCCCAAGAATAATATTTGTGTATCGATATTTCGCTAAGATAAAAGTGTTAGACTTATCCGTGCCCTCCATTTTTCTAGTGGGAGAAATATTGATTTAATGGGTGCACTCCCAGTTAGCACTACACAAAGTATCAAAGCTGTGATTTAACCGCTTAAACAATTCCCAGCGACCAAACCCATTTACTGTTGCCGTTTCCGGCATCAGTTTTTACATATCCTTTCTTAGAAAGAAAATCGAAGCACCAACTGAAGGTATAGCGGCACGTTAGAGCGTCCATGAATTTCAGACTTCGTTGTAAGCTTTATGCTGGATGCATGGAAGCGAACTGGAAGGCAGAGTGGAAGTCGGTTGAGCAAGTGACAACAAGGCCCCTTACCTTCCAAGTGGCTGTTACACCGTATCTATCGTATACTGTTGTCATTGGAGCTCTTCGGCAAACTGCATCCCAGCCTGTGCATTTCCTGGTGCATTTAGGCGCCATCCATAAATTACGTCACGCGAGTAGGGGGATGGGGAAGGTACAGAAAGCGTTACTGTTTGTTACAAGGGGGAGGGGGGTTTTAAACATTTGTGACGATTATGACGTTACCATGCTATATCTATGGAGGGGTTTTAATTTTGTTACGTAACGCTCAGGGGAGGGGATCTCAGTTTGTTAGCACTCGTGACAAAGGGGGAGGGGGAGGGCATGAAAATGTCGAATTTTTGCGTGACGTAATTTATGGATGGCGCCTAATACAGCTGGATTAACTAGAAGCTTGGCCAGTGCTCACTGTCGGAGATACTGATCTCTGTCATCTCCTCTACCGCCACAAGCTGATTACAACCGATCGCAACTTCATATTAAATAGAGCAAAAGACTCACAAAACCGCCACCAAAAGTGCCAGATGCAGCCCTTTATCGACAGATTTGCAACTTTGTATATAAATCTCTTTCGGTGTGGAGGTGCGTAATTAAAAAAAGAATAGAGCAACTAACTGTAAATTTCCGCTGCATAAAAACGAGTGGTGGGAAATTCGAATTTGGGGAGCAGATGTTAGGCAAGTAATCAAATGCAATCGTTCATACGATTCCAGTTACGGTTAGCAAACTAGCCACTGTGCAATAAATATAAGTTCAGACATGCCGACAGGCGTAAATTTTTAAAGAAAATTATAACTACATTGCGGCAGGGCTTCTCAGCTAACCATAAACCGGTTACATTTTTTACAGAACCAATGGTGTTTGTGTCAGTTGAACAGGTGGATTACGCAGATAAAGGGTCTTCCAACGAAACTTCGCATTGAATTTAATATCCCGACAAAGCGTACGAAACGTTTGGCTTCTTCGGACAGAAGAAACACTGAATAATACATACTTTATCGATACAGACAACCAGGACCGTCGCGAGCTTTTCGGGAGGGGGGGGGCGCTATTGTTCTCTCCGAAGGCGAAGTATGGCGCCAAATGCGCCAGTCCCGATTTTTGGAAATTTTATATGGGAAATTTAACACTTTTTTCCCGGGGGGGTGGCGCCACCCCCTCGCGACGGCCCTGCAGACAACAATCATCAACGAACGCGATCGAACAGACCATGCAGTCAGTAGTGCAGCAGAGTAAAGGCCTATTTTTACTCGGCTTTCGTCACATTTTTCTTAACGTCCGTCGAAATGGCAGAATACGCACATGAACCTAGATGTCCATGAAATCTGACGACCGTGATAAAAGTCGGCACTAAGATCCGGCTTACAGCACGGACATGAGCAAAACGGCCTTCTGGTTATAATCGAAAATCAGTTTCGCCAAACCTCGAAATTCCGAAACTGATTTCGACATAAATTACGACTGCTCTACTTCCTGTTGGATGGGATACATTCAGGATATTTCCAACAGGCGATATTTGTGCAACTTTGAGCCCTTCGGTTAATCGTTCATTTCGCGTTCGGCTGACTGATAGTTTTGCAACGATTTAGTATTTTTTTCGTATGAATTCTACATAATTCCGAAGATCACCCATGCAGATCGACGTTTCACCCGTGTATGAGGCCCAGAAGTAGGATATTGTCAAAATCAAATGTGCAGCTATATGCGAAATGGAAACTATTATTTATAAAGACTTAGTAGTCTTTCAAGTGTTGTAGGTAAATTAAGTACAATTGTGCCAGAAAGTGCGCTAACAGTAACATACGCAGTGTTTTGTGTGCTAATATACGGTAAACATGCAGAACTTCACGATCGTGAAGTTTAAAAAATAGAACTAGTTCTATTTCCAAAATTTGACGAAAGAAGCCAGATTTTGACGAACGTAACCTTGACGAAACTAACTTACGGCAAGGTGACGTATGTGTAGTTTTACTTCACATATCAGTCACGGACATTGTGACGGAGATGTGAATCAGTGAATGTATTTATACTCGCCGAAACAGCTCAGTTTCGCGAGATGTGACGATCCCGAGCCCGAGTAAAAATAGGCCTTAAGTACAAAAGCAGAAAGGATAGCTGAAAATCATTCTGGAACACATATGTAACAATCCCGGCATCACAACAGGCGACTAGAGAGAAGAGATCACAGCAACAAAATCAATACGAGTTTACTAAAATAATTTGTATTAAATAGAATAAACAGTGACCAGTCAGTACCAGGCATAAAATCAATATTGCAATAACTAGATCACATCCAATCGCATTTTGTCGTGCTAACAATAATTCATATTTACATAACCAGTGACAAATAATCACCGTATGTCGTTTCGATACACCATACGTGCACGCAGCCGGCAGCATCTCTCGCTGTAGAGGGCGTGCCTAGTACTGCCTACATACTATCTGTAAGTATTAATACAATATATTCAAAATTTGATTGTACACTCTAACTACTAAAATTACACAAGTTATTACACTCGTAACGAATCTGGGTAAATAACAATATCAAAGTCTTTTCAATTTCAAATGCAAAAAACCTCCTTAAAAAGTGTAAAATTCAGAAGCAAACGTTTTAAGAAAACCTCAAAATATTTATTTTCTGCCTTAACAGCAATGGGTAGGTAGCCTGCGTAATTTCTGCAATGCTAGAATGTCCGGTGTCGTATGACTTGTCGATAATTGTACAGTCATGAGCTGATAGCCTGATCGACAAAGATCAGACGGAAATCAGAATTCCGCGTTTGATCGATCATCACAAATCAGGACGATGCAATCCAATGGCATCTGCCACCGACAACACTTTAACAATTTAGACCACAACGCTCTTTGCTCGAATTGTGCATTCTATCTACAAGTACTCGTACAATGCCTACGGCTAAAAGCAACAGATTTTTGCCAGAATCTGATATCAGCAGTCAACTAGCTGAGACTGTACTATTGTCTGACGGCAAATCGACCGGTACGGTAGCGTGATCTCTGACTGATTTTTTTACGAGCGGTGGTCAAGGCCTCTTGCTATCCGCAGTTTCGCTCCATAAATGTACAATTTCATGGAACGCATAAATTTTATGGAGCGGCTCCATAAATCTACAGTTCTGTTTTTACGGAGGCCTAACAAAAATTTGCAGAAAATTTTAACTGCATGCGACAGGCGACGTAAAAAAAAACACAAAACGCCGGAAATCACAATGAAGTGTGGTTACCGTTCATGATTCCACGCTTCATACCTTATGATTCCATACGTTCCGCGATACGAAAGCCGTTGTTGCCCCAGCGATGTTACAACTGGACCGATACAGAAGATCCACGGATGAGCCGTAAACTCCAGGGGTGCTGGTCGACGTCCCGGCCACAGAAAGGTTACTCCGGTATTGTTCCTATAGTCTCAACTGTTTCTCATATTTTTTTAATCTAAGTCAGCAGTGCGGCTGCAAATACAAAAGCTGCACTAAAATTCCATTATTTGCTAACAAATATCTCGTTGCCGCATCTTAAACTGTTTTTCCTCATCTTACTGTGACTCTAATGCATGACACAAACAGAGAGGCGGTGGCGGGATCGCTCGTTTGTTGTGAAACAGCTTCTCCCTTCGGCGTGCTGATTCATAATTTACCGATTCTTCCGGCGTCGAGCCCGATTGTGCAGCATTCCTAGAACTGTGCTCAAAAAGAACACAACATGACAAAGTACCCGAAGATCAAACGGTCGCGACTGCGCAGGCGTCTTCCAAGCAATCCACTCCATTGACACATTCTAAAGCATGAATGGATTATACAAAGACATTAATAGCGCAGCTAGACACAACGAAGCACTTGGCATGGCATAACGGGGTCACATGCAGTTCCTGGGCTTCTATCAAGAGGACGGCGAGGTTGGGTCGGCCATGCCATTCTCCACTTAGCTGAATGTCAGGCTGCTCGTCCGATTCCGTGCGGCTAACGAAATTCTCGTCATTTGCAAACGTGCAACCTAAATTAAGCAACAACAAGAAGTATTGCAGTTTGTAGATTTTTAATTAAGTCTTGTAGTGTTCAAACTAAACAATCAACATTTCCACTAAAACGCGGTCCAACCGATTTAAAAATCTCAAGTTCACTGGAAAGAGTAAATTGTGCTTAACTTCCGCAAGTAAAAGTAATGAAGAAATTGTGTTCCAGAGCAAAATAACTCAAGCCTGGCAACTTGAAGGTATGTCGCGCATTTACTTATCGGTAACAAATTCATTTTACTGGCAGTAGCCACCCAATTAAAAGGTTGAAGGATGTCTTGGACGTAAGAAGGATAAGCAAGCTCCAGTTTCGAGTTGTTTTGGTAAACATGCTCCAGCACGCCCAATTTCCAGAAAAAGGCACTGCCTTAATCCCAGAAATGCATGCCATGGTAGAAGAGATAGTTAATGGCATTCGCTTGTCGGTATAAACTTTCTTATCCTAATTGCCACGAATGGGATACACCAGGGCCGGCAAACCAGAAAAGACTGACCAAAACCAATATTACATTTTGAAAGCCCGTACTCGAAAACCCGACCAGATAGCATTCATTTCTTTCAAAACCTCTGCCGCTTCGAACGCCAAAGCGGAAGAGTTTCGACACCTTCACCAAATGCAACCAAATTATTGGAATAATAATTACTTATCATCGTGGTATTTTTAACCAAGCAGTGTTGCTACGTAAACCAACTAAAATATAGCTAAATATTCAAAGTCAATTATCAAAATGAATTTGATTAGCAGACCGTTATTACGAAAAGAACGACTACATAAGTAACTTTGTCATCGAGGACAATTTCTGCACGAGTGCCGGCCGACCAAGTGACCAAGCTACCGGTACTATCCAGTGGACACAGCCCGTTAGGGGAACGAGTGACCGAGCAGCCGATACTGTTCAGGGTACGGGACCCGTTAGGTGAGCGGGTGACCAGCTACCAGTACTGTTCAGTGTACGGGACCCTTTAGGTGAGCGGGTGACCGAACTACCGGTACTGTTAACTGCACAGAGCCGTGAAGCTAACGAATTACCGAGCAACCGGTACTATCCAGAGTACGGGGCCCGTTAGGTGACCGAGCAACCGGTACTGTCCAGTGTACGGGACCCTTTAGGTGAGCGGGTGAGGGGTGACCGAGCAACCGGTACTGTCCAGCGCAAATAGCCCGTTAGGCAAACGAGCTAGAAGGGTGACCAAGCTAGCCGGTGCACAGAGCCCGTTAAGCGAACGAGTGAGCAAGCTACCGGTACTGTCCAGTGCACACAGCCCGGTGAGCGAGTGACCAAGCTACCGTTACTGTCCAATGTACGGGGCCCGTTAGGTGAGCGGGTGAGGGGTGACCGAGCTACCGGTACTATCAAGTACACACAGCCCGTTAGGCGTTAAAAATCCATGTTTTTAAATAAAATCCGTGTTTTTATTAAAATCCGTTTTTTTAATCCGATGCACCCGGCAGGGCCGGTACCGATTATGTTTCGTCGAAATACGTTATTTTAATAAAACTTCATTGAAAACTAATTAAAGTGGCCGCTAACCACAAGAAACGCGGAGGCGAAGCCGACGCTGTTTCTTGTAGTACCTGTACGGCCGCTCGAGCGGGCACCTATAGTAAGTGAATGGGAGATGGTCGTTCTAAGAAACCTAAGAAAACCGAAGTCCCATCGAACACAATTAAATGTTAGATTTCACAAACCGAATTCCTTAATTTCCTTTCGGTTCTTTTGCAGTACGTGATTCAGTAGATCACAGCCTATACAGAAAACTTGAATTTATAAAAAAGCTCAAAACGTTTTTGTCAAATCGGATTGTAAAAGAAAACAGCGACGAAACACTTGCAGCCAAGCCACCCGAGCCACTGCACTACACGATGATATCTACAGCCACTGCCACACATGCGCGGCTGAGCCAAACTGCCAAACATACACACATTCGCATATCAAAAGAAAAAAACCTTAACACTTAAAATCAACCACAGTTCAGTACGCACAAGCAAAAAAGAAATATCACCGGTTAGTAAGCACAGGTTACAATTCAAAACCACCATTTGCGACAAAAGGCGAAGAATAAAAAAAAATTCTTCACAAGCCGAGAGAAAACGCTTTTCATTTTGAGATGGTTTTTTAACATTCAGAAACCCACAGAGATTAATTTGGATAAATCATAAATCATTCAAAATCAACTGAGTGGAATTTGAATACTTAGTTTCGAGCAGCCACATAAGCAGTGGCTACAGTCGTTATGGTGTAGTGCAGTGGCTCGGGTGGCGTGGCTTAAACGTTTCGTCACTGTTTTTTTAATAATGCGATTACAAGAAAACGTTTAGAGCGTTTTTGTAAATTTCAAGCACTATACTTTGAACAGGTTGTGATCTACTAAATCACGTAATGCAAAACACTGGAAGGAATTCAGTTACTGGAATAAGTGGAATTTAACATTTAATTCTGCCTACTTGCACGGCCACCTTCCATTCACTTACTATAGGTAATAGGTGCCCAGTGTGCCCACTCGAGTGACCGTACGAGTAGCTCTTCGAAACTGCAAACGCTCCGGGCTTTCCTGAACCATTGCCAAGGACTCCTCGTAAGTTAACTACACAAAAAATACCCGGACATCCTACCAGTTTCTGTCAAATGGGAAGTGAAATTTCACCTGCAGCACTTGGAGTATCCTCCATGGAAAGGATTATGGAACGTCTGGTCGGAGCCAAGTTCCACGACTACTTCTCCGTTTTTTTCGTGCTCAACTACTTAATCTTTCCCAGAAAATTTCTTGAAACACAGCCATACCAGTAAGAAGACGTATCTTTCGTTGAATCATAAAATGACAACATTTCCGTGATAGCTTACCTCGCGGCGTTTACGAACGATGCAGTAACAGTAGATCTTTCGTCAAATAATACAGTAGTAGTAAATCATTACCGTCAAACAAGGACTTTTTTAGGATATTAGCAACTTCAGTTTACGGGCCAAGCACTTTTTTCTTACCAAAACGGATTGCAGATTCAGAATCAGCACATTTTTCTGACTTAGAAAACACTTTCTGACTGCCGGCCCCCCAGCGCCCCAGTGTGTCGTTATGACCCTTTCCACTTTTGGAAAGTGTTCTAAGTCAGAAAAATGTGCTGATTCTGAATCTGCAATCCGTTTTGGTAAGAAAAAAGTGCTTGGCCCGTAAACTGAAGCTGCTAATATCCTAAAAAAGTCCTTGCCGTCAAATAAGTTCAAAGTCTTATTAGAATTAACTGAGAATACCGTATTCTGTCAAAGCATTCGTCAGAGCTTTCCGTAATCTCCATGAACCAACCTTGGCAGTGGCGCTTAGCCAGGGCTTCTCGGCTAATATACAGCATATAAAAGAACTTTATGTTATATAGTACATTCCGAATTACAAATACTGAATGTGCATCACTCACCTCGGCAATGATTCCCACCCGGCACACGCCCAGCAGTCACCGCGGCTCTGGCCTGTGTGCGCGATATTCTACCCAAACCGGATGTCCAGAACACCTTCCCGCGCAAACTATAAACGCTCAGATATTTCCGACTGGCATCCAGGTCAGATACTGGGATATTCCCGCAGATACATAACAATAACGCTGTGCGATAAAAAAACGCAATACACAATCCGTTGCGGGGAATGCGCCGTGCAACGGTATTCACAGGGGACCTCGACCCCCTCATACATTAAGGGAAATCTTGTTTCCGCCGCACAGCTGCCGCTTAGGCCTTGTCCCGAATTCAAAGCGAATCTCGCTATGGTACGGTTGCTCAACCGCACGAGGTGGCTGTATGCAGTGGCCACGCCTACAGATACGGTACGCGAAGCCACCTCGCGAGGTGGAGTTGCTGTATCGCAACGAGATTCGCTTTGAATTCGGGACGAGGCCTTAGTCGATTTAGGCTTAAGTTGTATGTTTAACCCTGAACATTCAAAATATAAAAAGGATATCCAATTACTGCATAATCATATGCATATAGAAAAAATTATACACTCATGTAATAGTCTGTTAAAATTAATACAAGGTCTTGTGAAATTAGTTACGACTTAGGCGGCCGGCGGTCAAATACTGCAGAGTGCAGACAGAACTTCAGAGTTTCATGGTAACTGCGGACGCTCATACCATCACTGCCACATTTTTCGCAGTTTAGAATGCACGTAATTGAGGAAAATGAATGCATACCGAAATGCCAATGAAGAACTCTACAGCCAATACTTGTAGTCAGTAGTGGTGGACATTCCCGGGACATTACTGCATGTACCATCCATGCCGCAAATGGTGGCGTTCTCTCGCACTCGTTTAAAGTTGAATGGTTTCCGATGCTTTCTGCAACTGCAAGAACGCACCTGATTTTACTAAACATTCGAGGACGTTTTTATTTTCATGCCGGAGTAAAAAAAGCGAAGCCTTCAATAAATTAAGTGTCCTTACCAACACGAGCATCTTGCACAGAAGTATACTTGTGTCTTGTAAATTGTAGCCAATAGGGCATTAGCATCGGTACAAGTAACTTTCCGGTAAACATTTGCCTGGTAGACATGGATTAAATCACTTAAATACAAATTCCAAATCATATTAGGTTCTCCCGCAACTTTTCAGTTTTGAACTTTTTCAATTTTTAACTTCGGGTTGCGAAACAAGAATGCAGAACATCTTGTCATACTAATGCATATTCCTTTTGTAAGGTCATTTTCCATCCCGTCTGGAATACAACTTTTGCCGAAATCATGACGTAAAGCTTTTATTTCCACTGCTTTAAAATTAACACCCATACCACATTGACGCAATGGTGGACTGCCTTCAATACCCGGACGGCATACGCAGGTGATTTTGAAAGCTGAAGCCACCACTTGGACATTGCAGACTGCAGTCAGCTTTTTGACCGCAGTCTCGAATGACCACACACGGCGGCGGGGCAACTGGTCACAAGCGCATCAGAATAATTATGTTAAGTACTTCTATAATGTTGGCAGAATTTGTGGACAAATACTCACTGCATGCCACTGCACATGTGCAAACCGGCCCATCAATACTGTCAGCACATGTAGGCTCCACGGTTCACACCTGACATATTCACAAGTGTTCGAACCTAAAGATGCACTCAATTACTGCTAGCACTTCTACAGATGGAATCAGTGTGACCTGACATTTAGCTTCCGACACATCTGGCACATCTTCCATCGATTCAGTCAAAATTAGTTGGACAGGTGCATCGATAGTTTCCCGGTGAGTTGACGCTGTACTACCGCCTGGACAAAGGTCACACAGGAATTCCACGCATTCATTTCGGTCTTTGCAAAATTTCTGATCGAAGAAGAAAAATCCTTTGGGACATACACAAGAATACGAGCCTTCGGAGTTTACGTAGTTCCCGGTAACACAAGGATATGTGGAAGCCGCACACTCGTCAACGTCTACCAAAAACAGCAAAGTGATAACACCAAAACGAAATGGAGCAGCGTTATGCCCGATTATACCTATGCACTGACCGTTGACGAATATATACCCAGCCAGACAGTCACAAATATACGATCCCGGTGATTTTCATTTCATTTCGTTTTCGTTTGTTTTCTTACCGACACAGCCTCCCAGTGTATTATTGTAACTGGGTGGACAAGAGCATTCGTATAGGCCTTCTCCGGGTGAGCATGGTGGATCTGGAACAGCACACTCGTTGACATCTAACAACATCAAAGTTTGCATAAATTTCTGAGTCATACAGCAAGCAGAGCAAGCGGCGTACTAACACAATGTCCCGCTGCGGTATCAAATTGGAAAACTTTAGGACATTTGCAGGAATAGCTTCCCTTGGTGTTAACACAGTATCCGACCAAACAGGGATTGTACAGCACGCATTCATCGATGTCCAAGCACTTCGGAGGGTAACCAATCTTCTGCCAGCCTCTTGGACACTGGCAGTCGTAGGAGCCGTCAGTCATGGGACTCGTGGCAGTGCAATCTCCGGCTTCGCCACACGGGTGTTTATTGCTTTAGCAGACACTAACGTGCAGATAGCAAACGCCAACTTTCAAAAAAACAACCAGCTAAGAATTTGAATGCAGTTGTGTTACCTATGCAGGCACCGTTGCCTTGATCACGGAAACCCGGTGCGCACTCGCAGCGCATCATCTGTTTATCCGGCGCAGAAATGCAACGCGAATTGGGACCACATCCCGCTTTTTCACAACCAGTGGATACAATTACCATTAAATATGTGATAATTATCTCGTTTTGTTTGTTATCATTATGTAGTCACGTACAGTCTTATTCAACCCTTCATAATTCACATTATCTTATAATTCTGCTTAAGCTTTGTTTTTTCAACAACACACCGCCCGTTAATTGTCTGGTAACCTTTGAGACAGTTGCAAATATACGATTCAGGACGGTCCATACACGTTCTAGAGTAGGAGTACAGGGATTCATCGCGCATTCGTTGATTTCTATGAGGGAAACAAAAACAGAAAATTGTGTCGCTTCGAAATTTATGGAAATTGTGGATTTACCGTAAATTAAGCTTCACCAAACCAACTTACCAACACAGGCAGATCCGCGCACCGCCTGATATCCGACAGGACAGTAGCATTGGGATGACGATCCAGGCTTCTCGTCCACGAGACACGCACACACCACAGATACCGGCAGATGACACTGGCGCACAGCCACACAGCTTCCAGGCGTGGATTGGAAACCCTTCGGACAGCGGCACTGATAGCTTCCCACGCTGTTAATGCATATCCCCGGGGAACACAGAGTTGGTGACTCAGCGCGCTCGCTGACATCTTCACACCGATTATTCCGATTATTTATGTATTCAAAGCTCTTTGGACACAGCAGACATGTGTATTTTGTAGCCTCCAACCATATCCTCCTGGCAAGTGCCGATCGTACAAGGATCGTACATGCACTGGTTGATTTCTGAAAATATGTAATTGCTGATTAAAGCCAATCTGCGGTCGAAGTATAAGCTGGCACTGATGGTGAACGAAAGCACTAACTTATACATTCCTGTCCGGCCATAAGATCATAATTGGCCGGAGACACGCAGGCGAAACTGTCCGGCAAGTTGACACATTGGCCTGGTTCGCATGGATTAGTCTTGGTCATGCACTCGTAGATATCTGGTCATATACATATTCATGATTAACAATTACTAACAACAGTAACAACTAATTAAAAATTAATATTTAAAGGGCAGATTCAGTTTATGGTGTCTGGAAAATTCAAGCATGTAGAAATCCAGTTGCTAACTATTAAAACAGCGTTTAACTTTGTCCGAACGATATCATGATGCATAACAAGCAGTTAATTTTAACTGTACCGTAGTTTATAGATGCATTTTTTGCAACTACAGTACATATCAGCAAAATGGCATAGAACGGTGGTGTTACGATCTGAATTTGGTGGTTTAATCCTTAATGTTAAGAATTTCCATGCCAAGCGTAACAAGTGAAATTTCCATCGGTTTCGCAAAACAGCGAAAACATATACAGAACATTCCTCGATATCTGCAACGAAAGCGTTGTAGACGTACTGATTGGTTTGGTATTATAATAACAATAATGCACATTGTGTAACGCAAAGATACCGCGGTGTGCGGCAAAAGTAATTACATACCTCAAACGACTCAACCGCTGCTATAGTCAAGCCGTCCACGTAAGGACCCAAAATGTTGTGTTCCCGTACACACAAACTCTGAATGGTTCTACAAAAGTCGTACGACATGAGTAACACAATGCATAAGGACAATAAATCTGTGGACAAGGTAATATAATGAAGTAAGCCTTATGGTTAGCCTTTGCATCAAACAAAATTCAGATATTACTTCAACATCTCGAACTAAGCAGATCATAGACCTTCTCGTTGTAGATTTCGATGAACGATATTCCACTTTGAACAGTACCTTTTTTCGAACATAATTCTCCACTCGCAGAAATAAATTATTACATAACCGCGGGACTATACCCGGCTGTTCTAGTGAGCCCATCATCGTGTAGGACTTCCCGGAACCTACAAATATTCAAGGCGAACTTGAAGCGACAGCCGTGATCATGTACTTCTTTGCTGAATAACTGCTACACACACCGGTATGTCCATATGCGAAGATGCAGGCATTACGAAGACTCAGACATTCCCGTATCTTTCCAACGCCAGTTGGTTTTTTGTGCATAATGCGCAGTAGATAACGACGGGTAACGTGTGTCATCACGATCCGGAGCTTATCTGCGCTCCGAATGGTCAAAACAACTATACCGCACGTATTCAAGATACCGCGCTGCACAGCTCCGTTTTCTAACATACCCGTCCTTATCTCTATGAATCATAACTTATGCACCATAGTGCGCTGCACTGACCGTATACCAGCCAACACAGAAAAGATGTCTGACTTTTCGAATTGTATCCTTGAAAGGCATTCTCCAAAACACGGCTTTCCACTGCATTGTACACATCTTCCCGATCTGCAGCGGTCAAATCCATCATACATCCGCAGCGGTGAATTACGAAATGTTAAAACAGTTAGAGCGCCAATTTTTCCTTACCCGCATAAATGGATTTGCGGAAGTCGTGTCGTTTTAAGCGTCGTCGAATCGTCGTGACGGCATGACCAGAAACAGTGATCAAAGGTGAATGGTCTCTAATGCTTTCTGCAAGAACGCATCTACAGATACATTAACTAAACGTTCGAGGATGCTATTTTTTAAGCAGAACAACAATGTGCAGTTTTTCCAGCCATCAAAGTACTATGTATTCTTAACTCTAGATTTATTGTCGGCCTACTGATGTTATTTTCAAAATTGATATATCAACATTACTGGTACCAGATCACGGTAAGAAGAGCACGAACATGAGAATCCACGCTGCGTGCGGCATCTGGTTTAATTTTTTTAATCACTGTGTTTATTTTGCAGGCTGCAGACTCATTTGTAGAAGAAATCAAGGCTCCAGATTAGCCGTGAATACACACTAATGCCTAAGCAAAAACCAACCATATATGCAACTAACGAAAAACCGAGACGCGAGCGAAGTAGTGATTCAAATCCCTAATAAAAAGGAGAGGCCAAGTGCATCAGACGAATGTGTGATGCTTTTTATAGCGACCATTAAAATTCGCCCAGCTTCACAAAAACAGCGGCCGCTGACCAATGGTAATCGACTACTGTACTTACGGAGAACTACAGTACTTCTCCGGTTTTTTCGTGTAGTCCTAGTCCAACTAATTTGTCCTTCAAAAATTTTTTAAAAAAATTTGAAACGCAACTATCCAAGTCAGAAAACGTATTTTCCGTTCGAATGAATACAATAAAGGGAAGACCAAAGAAGAATGGGCTTATGAGGCGCAGTACTGCAGGCTGTTATGAAATTTCTAGTATACGGTAACCAAGAAGAAAGCAAGAATTAGTACAGTAGCTTATATTTGATATACGAATACACAAGTACCTGTAAAGTTGTTAAAAACCTCTCAAAATAAAGCAGATCTATTACTAGTATCTATCCACAGTTTGAGTGCCGAGCGCGATGCTGTTGTTAAAAATATTACTCACGGGTTGAAATGGAATCCAGTTCAGCCGACGGCGGACACGCTATGCCCACGCTACACTTCTAACTGCATTGCGAAACTTCAAAGTTCAAAATCATTAAGGCAAAAAATCGCATATCTCGCTGCATCAAGCAAGACCGTACCTTTTGACTCGCTCGTCCTTTGAACAAGGGTTCCCGAGTGGCATACGAGTGGACTTACTATGTTGGCATTCGTTTTCCTCGGATCCTAATTGCGGAAAATGACAAACTTGGATCAATGATAAAAGCAAAACCAAGACACGATTTTATACACAGATTCATGCTTAGCTTTCATCTCGTACAGCAGGTCGATGGGAACCTCGCTTCCGGTTCGCTAGAAAACTTAGCTGTACCAGTTCGCTTTGGATGTGCGGTCAAAATCGAATTAGTAATGCTACGTGTAAAATTTCACTGATTTCACTAACCAGCGGAGCGCATAACTGTTCGGCACTTTGGCATACTCGTGGAGTCGGGCATTTGCCAGTTGACGATGTAGTCGACTGCAATGACAGCCACGCGGGTGTCCCGCGATCGCAGCGCCACAGTTGCAGTATAACACTCTCTTTGTAACATTCAACTCTTTATAGCCTTACATACGCTTTCCACGAAACTGAATGCAGTTTTATCAGTGTAGAGTTTGTAAAAGTGTCAGTGTCGAAATTCTGCTAAACTTGCTTGAGTTAGATACAGTTGCACACAGTATTACAGAGTCTGTAAGCCAGATGCAGTAAGATGCAATCATAACCTCGCCAAATTAATACTGTGATAACGAGCAACGTGGACTATTTAACGTTTACGTATTTAATTTACATATCTACCTAATTACACTGCATTAACTAATTCATAGTTGTAATGCATCGCAGTTCAAAGCAGTGCCAGAAAATGAATTCATACTTTAGTAATTAATTGTGCTGCGTAATTAATTAAGGTGAAGGCTCCGCATACAACCTTTATACCACCTTTGGCTCCTAGTACCACCTTTTGCACACCACACACCACCATGATTTTTTTTAACTGACCAAGCCAAACTGAAACTTTGGAAGTTGTGGGGTCGTGACGAGCCAAGAGAGCAGCTGCGACCTGCGGGTACGGTACGAGAACGTGCAAAATCAAAAAAATGGTATTGACTGCGGGCCATTTGCTGCGGCATTTGCATATGGGTCTACAAAAGAAGCCCGGCCTAAACATCATATACCGGCAAAGGTGTCCGAAAATGCATTTCAGAATGCTCTGAGAAAAAAGAAGTTTCCACTGAAAAGACGCGCCGGACGATAGGCCGACGATAGAATTACCAATCCGGGATTTGATTATTTTCATATCCGCTATAGACGCGGCATTGTACTCGTACGAAGCCCAGCGTGCTGATATGGATGTAGCTGCGAAAGCTAATCATTCAACTACTACAGATATTAAAATTTAATAAAAATGGATAGACACTTAAGTAATAAATAAATAGTGGTAAGCAACAACTGATAGTGAGGGTTTGTAATAGGCGAATACCAAACTGTAAGTACACATATAATATTAAAATGGGCAATTTCGACTTATAACAACAGTTCTACTTCGCGGCTCGCAGGCTGACTTCTCTACTGTGATTAATACACTAAAATATATTGTACTAGTGTCAGTGTCGAAATTATTTTACGGATTATGTGAATTGAATATAAAGCAAGAAGGGTATGAAGATGAACTGCGAATTTAGAGCGTAGTTTCTCTATGGCTGTACTAATAGAGAAATATGTAATAATTACATAATATTATGTTAATCTGCTCATAGCCTGGTGGTAATACGTTCGGCTTTTGAACTGTATAGCCTGGGTTCGATTCGCAGATGAGTAACTTTTATCTCATAAAATCAAACCAAAAAAAAGTATTGTGGTATCAAAATACCAAAAATAAATTCCAAATAGCCTTAAAAGTCTCCCTAGTGGAGTTTGGCTACTGTTGGTTCGATAATAATAATAATAATAATGGCGGATTGCATAACTGCTTAACGTTGAATATTACGCCCAAAAAAGAGCAACATCAAAATCACTTTTGCATTTGTTAATGAATTACCGGCAATCGCCATGACATGTTGCTAACAAAGCGAAAGTGTCACCTACCGCAACTGTTGTCATTAGCACAGTCGTTAATCATATACCTCGGAAGTAGCCTTGGGCCAGCCATCAACAGTCGCTGCTGTTGATGGCTTCCGAAAGTAAACTCTTCCCATTCTCAAAATCAGTCATCCATAACTCATAAGCGACCTTCAAATCGCGCACACGTTAAAATATGTATAGTTTAAAAAAACTATGGCACCTACAAAATACTGAATACCCAATGTACAGGTGAATGTCATCCACATGCTTGTAGACTTTTTTAAGCGCCTCCACAATTTCGTCCGGAATGTATGTAGTCAAATCACTGAAATCGGCTGCACGCGTCAAATTACAGTATTCGCGAAATTCATTGTATCCCGGGAGACCGCGATCCCGACCGCGCATTATGTTGATGGCCACCAGATCCTGTCCGCTGAATTTTCTACTGCGGTCTTCGAACAAATGATCCGTCAGAGCTTTTGTCACAACAGAGTCCATGTTTTGCATCGGCTCCACAATTAAACCAATGAGCAACTGATCGATTCCCAAATCCTCGTACAAGATGTCTCCGCGGGCAAAGTGCTCCATTAACTTCACCCGGCTGCGGTTGCCGGCGATAAAATTGTTGTCATACCGGCCGAATTCACTTGCACCAGCGTGTGTCCGAAACGGAACGCCGCGGCGGAAAACTCATTGACCAGCCTTGCGTCACAGTTTGGATCGTAGTTCGTGTAATAACTGGAACGTCGGGATCGTAGATCGACTGCTTGAGTCAGTGCTTCGCCTAATATGCGTGGGAAGTACTCATTGAAGCTGATATGCTGCAGCACGGCAATCAGGATACGACGCGGTTCTTGAAACAATTGTTCGTCTTTCCAGTGACTGTTCACCCGTTTCAGCTCGGTGGCGATTTGGTTACGCAAACGCATCTGAAAGCATTTCATTTATGGTAGAACGCTAAAGAATGCATAAAAGCATTAAAAGATTGTATGGAACACCGCTGATCGATAGAACAGCACATGCAACTTCCTCGTATTGCAGCTACAGTAAAATCTGTGAGATTGAACATCTGCGAATATTGAACAGGGCTCTACATTGAACGCCTGGCTAGGAACCGGCGCGCCTCGTTGACTATAACACAGGGGGGCCACTGCGAACAGTGAACATCTGTGTAAAGTGAACATTGAACGCTTTACTCGGAACCGTACTAATTAAATCGCTCTGTTCAATGTGAACAAAGGTGCAAAATCCGGGTCCGGCGTGAGAATGAAAATGACATCACAAGAAAAACTTTAGCCAATTATTGGTTTAAATGCACATTTGACCATTTGTTAACTAAAATCTGGCTTTAATCTTACCGGTTAGTGTTGCCGTATCATTTTCGTGCGACCTCAAGATGAAACGAACATTTTGTATTCTAAAAATGGTTTTCGCATTTTTGGCGCTCTTTCTAACACCAAATTTACGAAAAGCCCGATCGCTGGGTCAAGAGATACGATAAGTCACAAAAAGTCAAAACGGCAACTCTGTTTAATCTGCAGTCTTCCCTTATCCAGCTACACAGTTGACTTGTCTTGGTCGCTCTAGAACATTCTCATATCCGAAAATGACACTCGAATGCCAAAAGTTGAGCTTACCATAAAGCAAAGCCAAAACTTTGAACTAATTATATAACACAGCAAAACCTACATGTACTTGCTAAATGAACAGTACAATACGGGGCGCCCCACGTAGTTACCCCGAGGGGCCCCCCAGGGGCAGTTACTGCGAATATCGAACACTCTTCTACATTGAACGCTTTTGATGGAACCACAGGTGTTCAATGTACATAGATTTTACTGTAGTAGCTGCCACAGGCCTAACGTAATATTATCCATAAAAACCACCTCCTTGCAGATGACCTTCGCCTTGTTTATCGAATGCGACAAACCATTTTCATGCGTTTGTCCACCCCACCTACCCATATGGTATGAGAAACAGTCAATCCAGGACTTTCGTTTTCGCGCGTATCTCCAGCCAAGAAGATTTCCAGGAACCGAATTAAGACATTCGATGAATTCTATATCAGTTGAGTCGATTGTGGTTGGCAGAAGATCTTTCAGACCGGCATTGGGGTTCTTTGTAGAATTCAGCTTGCCTGCATTTCCGAACCACAGCTACAAAGCGTGCATGATGCAAATCCGAAAACAAATTTACAGGTTACCGTCAACAAACGTCCGCAGACGTTGGGTCTTGCAGAGAGTGCTGCCGTACACCATACTGGCGTCCACATATGCCGTGTTCTGGTTCACCTGCTCCCGCGCTCCAAACGATGTGCGGCCGGTTGCGGAGCGGATAAAAGCCAAGCAGCGACGCTCCGTAGTATTGCTGATAAAAGGGGTCATACTTGAATCCGCCAGTGGAATCGGGATAGGCCGACAATTCGCACTGGTCATCTCCTGTGCGTTGCATGATCGACAGTTAAAATTGAACCCATTCAAAGCAGTTGCGATGGGCGTTAGTGTCATATCGTGATCCACAAACTGGCCATACTGCATGAACATGTGCTGAAATAAAAAACAAAAACGGTATTAACAATGGCAGTACTTCAGCTGTACCGTGCACGCATAATGCAATCCTGCTCTAAGCATCTTTATTGTTATAGAATTTACAGTAAGTGCATCGAAGCTGGAATGTACGACAAGATCGGAGGGCACGGTGCTGCTGGTCTGTCGTCGGTGCATATTAATTAATCAGGCTATTCCAGTGAATGGAATACTGCTAAAATTTTAATAAGTGCATGTTTCAGTTTAAAAGTCGAAAAACAAAGTCGGGGGTGCGGCTTACGTGAATTCAAGACTTCGATACGAAATAATTATCGTAGGGATCTTTTTTGTAAGAAAGCTTCACTCAAGCTTTTTGTAAGCAAGCTTCACTCAAGCTTTTTGTAAGCAAGCTTTGTAAGAAAGCGTTGGGTTTATACTTCACTCTTTTTTGTGAACTTCTACAAATTCTTCTGCAAGATTTCAAGTTATCATGATGCCTTAACTTTGTGCCAGATTGACGAATGTTAAAACACGCGACGTAGGTTGTGCATGAGCTAAAGCCAAATTATTGCTTAATGCTTATTACCTGTAACGAGGATGCGGCCGATCCACATCCTCTACGACTCCCAGTTGGACCTCCCGGGTGGACGGCAGAGGCACGCCTGTGACGCTCATGTTGCGAGGTTCGTCGACACCGTCAGCAAAGGCGGGATCGAGCAGACGGCCGAATATCCTCTCCGATGATCCTCTTTCGGGGTGCTGGAGATTGTTACACCAACCCGAAATGCTGCGGTACCTACTGGTGTGATCGCACGGGACGAAGCGTTCGGCGCATGTTAAGTATATTTTCCGTTGGTCCATCCAGTTTGGGTTTAATCAGTCCGTCAAAGCGCTTCAGCTTGGACATAACACTTGACATATTGGTAATTGGAGGGTGTCCGGTTGACGAATTGGCGTTTAAGTATATGTTTGGTGCCCTGGATGAAGGCGTTGGACTCGAGATTCATGGCTCGGACGGCGGCCGTCGGGCTGTTGAATGCGGTACGAATGCGGCCGGATTGGCTGCCTTGAGCCTGTGCTCGGGCAAGATCAGCTAAGGCAGTGACGGTGACTTCTTCGCGGGCCTTTTCCAAGATGTTCATCAAGATATCGGGTGAGATTTCGGGATCCGCAGGTATTGCTGTACCAGGAAAATTTTAAACTGATCACATTTGTTGGATTACATTTTCAGATATTTCGAAATCTCAAAACTTACCTGCTTTCCACAAGCTGAGATCTAAGGAAGCAGAAAATGGCGACCGACAAGGCATTGCCGCGTTCCTGTGACGAAATACAAGGAATACATTGGTACTTACTGCATTTAATGGCATCGCAATGTACTGTGTGTTGACTTATAGCAGCAAGTCAATGGTTTCTCGTAACTTTAGTACGGATAGCTGTACAGGGTAAGCGCCGCTCATTTTCTTTGTTAGTTTTTCTTCAGAAACAATCACGAAGATTGCTGCACTTAGTTTATTGCTCATAACCTTTGCTCAAAAGCATTTTTATTAGAAGTCGTCTAATCACAATGTAAGTTATCGTGATATGCCTGTCTTTTTCCACTGAAAAATTGTAGGAATTACGAGTTTCGGTTGCTTCCAGATTTCACTTACAGTAACGAATCTGGCAGCAGCATAACGTGAGGTTGAATAGACGGAATATTGTCGCCATTCTCACATAAAATTCTTGCCAAGGTTGTATTCGTATCTCCGTCAGCTGTTCTGTCAACAAAGAATACGTAATTAATGCCGAAACCCTTGATCGTAGTTTATCGTATGCATGTGCAACAAGGGGACATACCTGGCGTAAAACGGGTTTCCGGAAGATCATTTTCATACCAATATCGATCGCCCACTCTCAGATTACGATACTTTTTTGCAATAATACAGGAAAACACCGGCCCGACTAATGCCCCTGGCTCATGAATTTCGGATAGCCCTCCAGTGAAGAGGTCAATATCATGGACGGTACTGTGTAAACGAATAGAACTCATGAATGAATGATAGTAATGCCCTAGTTATGAAATTATCAGTGTCCTGAACAATACGGCAGTTAATGCGCATTATAACAAGCAGCAAATGGCTGACCACAGCGACCTTCGATCAGTTTTCAGTTCAAAGGAAGCGAGCTAGTGCGTGGTAGCGTGTTACGGCTGAAAACATGTGTACAACTGTACGCGGGACGATTCCCTTAAGCTGGAAGTGGTCGAAATTGGTTGCGGTCAGCTCATAGTGATTTGGCAGAATGCTAAAAGCCCAATGCAAATCATGATAGTATCCAGCGATTGACTTATTTAGTGTCAAAGCACTGCCGATAATTGAGGAGTATCGCACTTATGAATCCAGTTATATGGGTTTGCGTTGATCAGCCGAAGCTTTAGTTTATGCAAGAAGCAAGCAAAATTATTTAAAAAGCAAATCAGAACCACTAAAAAGACAATTCAAGATACAAAATACTGAAATTAATGGTGGTGAAACTATGTAAGATTTACTTACAGCAGGGGCGTCATAGAGGGGGTGTCTACCGGCAATTTTTCGGAGTTTGACTCCCCTTGTTTTTCAAAACCGATTGCCCCCGTCAAAATTTAGAAGAGAACAGACAGAGTAATATTGAAGAGAGCAGACAGAATATGTTTTTCAAAACCGATTGCCCCCCTTCAAATTTTGCCCCCCTGTCAAAATTGGACACCCCCCTTTTGCCGAACCTGTGACGCCCCTGACTTACAGTACATGTCATACTCGTACCTGTAAACAGCCGACAATATTTTAATATTGCTTTCACTGACGGAGTCTCTGAGATCGTCGAATGAAGTGGCCATCTTCAGACCGCACACACTCCGCCAGAAATCGTAGCTAGATAATCCATGATCCCGACCACGCTGAAATTGTGTACAATAATACAGTTTTGTGTGGTTTTCAGTTTTCCTTTTGTATGCAACAATCAAGATACCTGAATAGTGAGAGCCGCCAAATCCAGCTTTTGTCCAACGTTGGCGGCCGGATCGTCCGCGATTCGTAGCCATCCGCTGTTGGTCAGCGCAGAGGTTATTGACTGGTCTCCCGGTCTAGCTGGTTGATCAGCAATGCCCCGAATAGTTCCATCCAGCACGCCCGAAAAATACACCTGTGATAGAAAATTAAAGGTGATTATTTTAAGTTTAAGCCCGCATATTTTAAAGCTCAAGCACATTGTAATGCTGGCATACTCTGTAGCAGGATACAGGCGTACGTAATAATAATTCTTACATCATAAGGTTGAAACCATTGGGTGTTAAACGGCTTGAAATTAACACGACCTCGTCTGTCGATAAACTGGGTACCATTTGCCATTAACGAATACCAGAACTTGGAAGCTGCAGTGGCAAACTCGTTCGTAATCCCAGGGTGTACGGCCGCGGAATAGCCTGAAAATGTACACTCCTTGCACCATGGTGGAGTATAGAAATGGTTACACAACTCCTGATATGAAGGCCGGATTTTTAATACGCAGGCAACAGAGTTCGAGGTGGTAAACCTGTTAAACAGCACAGTATATTCTGACGAAACCGGTTCTCCCTCGATCTGATTACTTGTACCGTTTGTGGGCATCTGTCGGCGCATCCCAGAGAAGGCAAAACGCAGTAACCACTTTTTACAAATTTTTAATAAATATCAGTTTCAGGATTTGAAAAGTTAGCACTGATGATTTTTCATAAAATCCGCAAGGTAAACATTTTCAAGCAACCTCGATGCGTTTCTTCGTTCGTCATCAGCCCTCCCGAAAACGGGTAAAACAAGAGAGCAGGTCCTACTCTCAGAGGTCACGCGCCAGCTGCTTTTTGTACTGGTGATCTATCGCAACAAGTAACAAAATTGGAGTACACTGCCCACAAACTGCAAGCGATTAAATATAGCTCAGCGTCTTAACGTTTTCGAAAACAATCTAGAGACCAAACTGGTTTAGAAGAAGTAAAATTTAGAGTAATAATTCTAACTTCATATCCTACAGTACTTATGTTTTGTTGTTCTGTTTATGTAGCTATTGGGATACAGCACAAATTTCTAACTCTTTGCTTTGGTCCTGGCATTAGCAATTTAAGCATTGATTGCAAACCAAACGGTTAAAATAACCTCGCGCACACCACTAAAACTTGACGCTTACCTATTTCAGTATGTGTAGCCTACGAGGAAGCAAATGGCTAAGCATTTTGTTGCTGTTGTGCACGAGAAAGCAAATTAGCTGTTCATAAACAGCCACAGGTTTAGTATCAAAAGTTTAAAATTTTTTCTACACCTTTTGATATGCAACTAGTATAGCTGCACTTTGATATTCACGGAGCGCAGGCGTCTGAAAGTAGTGGTGGCGTGTCGTTGCGAGGTTATTTTGAACCGCGGACCGACAGTTCAACCTCTTTTGTCGTACATTGTACCGGGTGGGCGGTTTGGGCATCAGACGCACTGAACGACTAGCTTCGGCATTCCTTGCCTCGGTCAATTCGGTTCGCTCGCTGGTGCCACATATGACAGACCTGTACAGCGAAGCATATGCGACATGTGCGGAACAAGCTTGGAAATCAATGGGGCCGCGAACTCCCTGATGAAAATTTTCGTGCTTCGCAGCGTGCTTGGGACATCCCGGTCGTCCTTTACCAGAAAAAGAAGCAGTATTACGTCAAACGGATTCCGTTAACCAAAAGCCGGCTGCTAGCTGTGTCTCAGCCTGAGTCTGGGTTGTGGCTAAATGCAGTCCCAGTGGCGAGCCTCGGCACTACGTTGTCGAATACCAGTAAGGATATCCATTGCGCAACGCATCGGCGCCCCAGTATGCGTTGAACGCGGTGCAAAATGCGGCAGCACTGTTGACAAATGGGATATCACGGGTTGGGATGCAAGCACCTGAAAGCGAAAATTTCCCGTCATAACGAAATCAGAGATGTGATCCACCGCGCCTGTGGGTCAGCCAGTATCCCTTCCGTTCTCGAGCCACAGGCCTTTACCGCGATACCCAGAAAGGCCAGATGGCATGACCTCAGTTCCCTTCAGTCAAGGAAATCCTGGGTGTGGGATGTCACCTGCACGGATACCATGGCCACCAGCTACATCATAGAAGACATCCCAGGAAGCCGGCGCTGCCGCCACCATGGCGGAGGCAAAGAGAAAACCACAAAGCACGGATATTTACGCGATAATTTCAATTTCTCTGCTTTGGTTTTGAAACAATGGGTGTGTGGGGTAAAGAATCGAAATGTAAGATGTCTATACTCGGTAAGATGCTTTTTGAGAGGACACAGGAGAAACGATCCACTCAGTTTCTGAAGCAGAGAATCAGTGTTGCTTTAATGCGAGGTAATGCTGCTTGTGTTCAGGAAACGTTATGTATCGGTAAGAGACTGGACGAAGTGTATTATGTCATTTTATGTGTTGAAATGATGAACTGCGTAATTTTGTTTTTAATCTATGTTAACGTGAATAACCCAATTAAAGATCATCATTCGACCACTAATGAAGAAAGAAACGACCCGACCCAGTTTTCATACAAGACTGGAATCGCAAAGACAATGACAACTCACCTGATGAAGAGATAACATTAAAAAACTGTCGTTGACAAGGGCGAAAGACTTTTGCCCGAAGAAGATTCCAGCATATTTTTTACAGAGCGATACAAAACACTACTATTAATTTGATCACTCTCTCTAACGGCTTCTTCTTATACTCGTACTACAAATAGTACTTACATGCAAACTTGTGTTTGTGCATGATGCGTTTTATTACAGCTTGTTTAACTGCGTGTGTGTGTGCATGGATGAGCACGTTATGGCTTTGGCCATAACGCTTGACAATCTAAGAGATTGTTCTCATGTTTATTGTTCTCATGAAAGTTACCGAACTTTCTAGAATCGTTGCAACACGGTTGCACTAAGATATAAGGTTTTACTTTGCTGTGAATGATATCGATCATTCCAGCGATCGGTCTACCATTTCCTGTTGCTTTCCATCTCATTGTTATTCTTGCTTGTTGTGTGATTAAAGTTATAGGTAAGAACTATTACTTTCACTTTCCGTCAGCACAGTATATGAGTATATTACGCAGTCATATATGGCACTGGCCCCCTATTAAGCTGAACCTTGAAGTATCATTTGTCTTATTCCTTTTCCCCTTTGCTGCTTTCCGGTACGCTCATGCAAATCGTCTCGCCATAAATGGGCCAAGGTCAAAACGAGGAAGGAATAATTAAAAGAATGAAATTCCGTGGTCAAAAAGATGAAGGAAAAATTAAAGGAAGGAAGGTTATTTTAGTCCAAAAAAAGGAAGGAATTTCGTACGGTGAAGAAATTTTTCGTGCGGTGAAAAAATAAGAATTCATAGGGAGCAGAAATCGTACAGAGTGTGTTGAAATGTTCTTTTGTGATAGCGAAGAACACTGTATGCGGACTCTCGGTTTACTGCATTTTGCAAAAAGACTATTGTAAATTTTGCTTCTTCCGTACAAGTCGCCGTTAATGAGGACTAAATGAACGGTTTTTTTTCACGTATGTATTATTAGTGTGTCAATTTTCATCAGCACCAGTATAGGATATTACGTATATAGTGGTTTGCTCTGTTGTTAATGCTTCCAACATTAGGTAACAAGCAGCAAAAAAATGGTACGGTGCAGTTGAAATAAGCCGATTAGTACGGCGATTACTCACATATCAGGTGTGCATTATGTGCACACTTAATATTTATGATCAGTTCATTCTTACTTAAGCTATTCTGCTTTTAATAAATCCTGAAGTAGGCGCTTTTAAACTACAAAACATGAAATTAACGGACAACGGTATCATTACAGCTGTGGACGGGCACAAACGACCCCAACTTAATCTCCAGAATTTTTTTTAAGTTTGACGTCAAAATAATGGTGATGCAGTTATCACTTGTCTTCAACGATTTGGCTGTTAAGTCTGTTATCATATTAAAATTTAAACTGCAAATTGCAAAACAGAAAGGTGTAGTATTAAGAAAGGCAAAGCGTCATGATAAGAACGTGTTGTACTATGAGTAATGCATGCTGGCCACATGTATATCTCATGTACTCTAATGACGTCAATGCTGTTCTAGCTTATAAGCTGCTACTGCACATGCATTAGCAATCAATGTACAAATTTGTAGAACCATTCCACATCCGCGTTACTTTATCAATAAAGAACCCAGCTTTACAAAAGTAAGGAAAGTGTACACATGTTGGCCTGGCTTATTCTTCGTCATTATATCTAACCATTCTCATTTTATTTTATCTAACTCATTTTATTTAACCGGACTCATTTTATCTAACTAGCTGGGCACATAAACCTCCTCCAAATTAAATGCGTAAAAAAATATTTTCAGCCGCCATCGTCAAGAGGGTGTGGCCAGAGAACAATTAAAAGTTTACAAATTATCACAGATTTGATACTAGTGACGTTGCGCAAACACGCTTCTCGTGGCGGTTGCTACTTCTCGTCGCTTTTAGCACTAGATGCGACGGGAAGCAAACACCGGTCACATTTGAGCTTGCGCAAAGCAAATGCTGTAGCTGGTAGGCTTTGAATTTTCTGCTGTATCAGTACACTACATTTGCGAAGCTATTGAATATTGCAAAATATTCATCTTAGAATATTGCAAAATGAATAGACATTTAGAAGATTTATACCTATGTGATGCGATCGACGATGAAGAATTTCTCTTTCTTTCTGAACCGAATCGGCCGGTGTGGAATATCGAGCGAAAAACTAATTTTCGCCTTAATTCTTTCACTGATGATGAATGTATTGCGAATTTCCGATTCAGCTTTCTGGATATTTATCGTTTAAAGACAGCTCTTTCCGTACCAGATATTGTTTATCTGGATAACAGGTCTGTTGTAAGCGGGATCGAATGTTTATGTGTTCTACTGCGACGACTGGCCATTAAGGGACGCCTGATTGAAGTGTGCAATATATTTGGAAAACCAGAAAGCGCAATCAGCAGAATTTTTACGTGGTGTGTTAATCATATATACGATACTTTTGTGGCCCGGTTGCTGCATACTTTTGTGTCTCCTTATCAAACTGAAGCGTTTTTCAAAGATTTGTGCCAGAAAAATGTTGAAAAAGGATGTCTATTCGATAACTGTATTGGATATCTGGACGGAACCCTGATTGAAGTTTGTCGCCCTCAAGGACCAGATGAAATTCAGAGACAGTTCTTTTCATACAAGAAATATCATGCCCTGAAGTTTCAATCCTTGCAAGCTCCGAATGGTTTGATTCTACAGTTTGATGGCCCGTGTCGGAAAATTACACGACAGTACGGTATTTCGAAGAAGTCTCCTTGCTGATCGTATCCAGGACTTGAACAACAAATATGATATTGCTGCGGATAATCGCTTTATGGTGTACGCTGACAGTGCCTATGCGAAAAGCCTGTACGTCATGCCGGTTTACAAAAACACAACAGTCGGCTCATGGCAAGCAAAATGAACGACGAAATGAAACCTCTTCGGATCTGTGTTGAATGGGGATTTAAAAAGTTAAACAGCTTTTTCGGTTTATAACAGACAGAGATAATATGAAAGTTTTTCTTACGCAGCCAGGTAAATATGTTCCTGTTGCAGTAATTCTAGCGAATGCCCATACTTGTTTATACGGCAGTCAGACCGGCGACTATTTTGACAGTCATCCGCCAACCCTGGAAGAGTATTTTTCTGTATAGAAGTTTCGTGATCTTGAAATCCATAAATTACCTGACAGTGGAAGTGCGCACTGGTCCTCGTGATCAAACACACTTGCTTATGATTTTCAGAGTATGTCAAGATTTTTCTATTCACTAATTTTGCTGCAATTGTGACCTCTAGA